CCAAACCGTCAGGACTTCCTGTCCACTGACCTCCATATCCTGCCTCCTCTGTCCATGACTCTCCCTTACAAGAAATAGTCTCATAAATTATTTTCCGGTTTCCACTTACACTCTTGCAATCTATTATCAAAACTAATGGGAGTAATCCATAAACGTGAGTCAACCTAGGTCACTTCCTAATTCAATTTCTCCAATAGCCATTGGTATAAGATTCTCACTTGCCTGGGCCTCAGAGATTGTACCTCCTCTCAGCACTAACATTCTAGACATTCTTAGAGTTCCTGAAACCTACAAAGCTAATGCATGCCTTGGAATTCTTGTGGCAACTTTTCCTCAGCCTGAAGGCTCTTCCCTAGGTCATTCAAGAAGGGATCTTTCTAGTCCTTCAAGCCTCAGCTTTCGAAGCAGGTTCTGAAACAGTATTCCCTGCCCCAGACTCCATCCCCTCAGCTCCAGCCCTCCCCTCCCAGTCACTCTCTGGCAGATCACCAAAAGCCATTGACCTCAGCACATCCTGGCCTTTTCTCCCTGACCTATTCTCATATGTTTGCTTCGTATTCTTTTCCCTTTCCACATTGAATGAAGAACAGGCACCTTGTCAATCCTTGCTGAATCCTATTATCCCAAGGGTCTAGATTAGCCCTTAGGTAATAAACATCTAATAGCAGACATTCATTAGCTCTGGTTAGATAAATGACTGGTTAGGACTTTTTAATGGCTTTTTATCCCCAGCAGATGAAGGGGAACTCTATTAACTGCCCCTCCTCCAAGTTAAGTGCACTAATTAACTGGATGCTTTTAGAAGCAGAGGCCTTCTCTCCTGCTGGGCCATCCTCAGGAGGTTCCACCTGCCCCTCTGGGTCTAATTGCATTCTGACTCCTCCCTCAGAGCCCTGCTTAAACAAAGGGAGGTGAAATTCCTGTCCCGATTTCTGTTCCCACTGTGCCCTGTATTTTCCTTCATATCACTTTTCACTATCATTTATGAAGAAAAGAAATCACAACTCATCTTTCTGATTAAACTATAAGCTCCATAATCCCAAGAAATAAATCAATACTATTTATCCAACAAGAAGCTTTACACTAAGTAGACTGCCTGACTACACCAATTTGTTATCAAACATGAGAAAACAGAAAGTACATATTCTCTGATGACTAGGCTAGAAGACTTTCTCTCTTTTTTTAACGCATTTTATTTATTATTTTTATTTTATGTGTATGCGCGTATTGCCTGCATGTAGGTAAGTGCACTCGTGTGATGCAATGCCCACAGAGGTCAGAAGAGGCTGTCAGATCCCCTGGAACTGGAGTTACCGATAGTTGTTAACTGCCTTGTGGGTGCTGGGATTCGAACCTGGGTCTTCTGCAAGAACAGCCAGTGCTCTTAACCTCTGAGCCATCTCTCCAGCCCCTAGAAGACTTTCGTAAACGTGCTCTGATTTTGTATTCTAGGGTGCATGTGTCTTTCTCCCCTTCCTGCCCCATCCCAGGTGGGAACACTAGACACACCATGCACAGCTATTCCTTGCTCCCTCCTCTTCAGCCACAGAATTGCTCTGCAGACATTTGGTTGTCTAATTCCTGCAGTGATTAGGCAGGCCAGGTAAAACATCCCTCCTAGTTCCTACACCCAGAAGGAAGTTCAGATCAGTTTGACATGAAGCCCAGAAACCTGAATGAAATACAGAGGCAACCAGATCCTGGGGATTGAAGGGAGTCCAGTTACACATTGTCAAGGCCATTCATTGGGATGGTTCATCTAAGAGTAAAGACAGAAGCTCAAACGATTGACAGACAACCTTATTTAATTTAGGGTCCTATAGTCCCCAGGCCTTTTCTGGAGATGTTTGTATGAAGTCACAGTACTTATTTTAAATTGGTATATATTTACAGATATGTGGTTTCTAATCTCTTTCCAGAGCTGCCATCATCTGAGGGGAGAAAGTTGGCTAACTAGTTTCTGATTGATCACAGGTGATCCCTGACTCCATGCAGACCTACTCAAGGATATATCCTGAGCACATCTAGATGAACCTTGGGTGCACACACCCAGAGAAGCCTGGAAGACAGATACGGCAAGTTGCAAGGGAAGAGAAACAATCTTTGTTCACATGGAAACCAAGGTTCTAGGGAGCCTCAGGCTCCTTTCTGACATAACTTTTCATACAAAGGGCATCTTCACAGTACCAAAAGGTCTTGGGGTAGTTCTTAGTAACTAGCAGGCAAAATTAGTGTTTCACAAATTTGAAATAATTGCTGCCAATCATTGGTACTTCTTCCAGTTACCAGGTAGTCTAAGTCTAGGGGCAAAGAACTGCAAAGAAAAAACTGATTCCCACATAGGTATTAGACACGGGGTACCTTGACATTCTAAAGAGTGAGATTAGGAAAGGCTTTAAAGGCATAACTCAAAGGCTTTAAAAATTCCTGATGGCAGAATTTGAAGCTAAAGTTAAGGCTAGGGACAGAAAGCCCCTCTGATTTCCCTTCAGCCCCTAATACTCAACATACAAAAAGAAGAAAAATCACTTCATATATGTAAAAGTCTTCTTTTTCGGTACAAAACCACCTAACAAGGAAAATATTTTAATCATCAAGAAGAGCCATCATAGTTAAATATCTCACATATTTTAAAAAGGAATCCAATTCGCTTACTTCTACCTTCGCATACAAAATCAGAGCACGGCAAGTCAAAACAGCCTATAGTTCTGAATCCGGCTTTATTTTCTATAAGAGAAAGGACCAGTATAGCCCCAGGGATGAACTTTCATTTTTAATTAGTTTCCAAGACTATATAAAAACTACCAATAATCTTTTTTAAAAATGGAAATATATAGTGATTGTCAAATAGTCTGAGGAAAGAGCCACTTGTCCAAGGGTCTGCTGAAAAGCATGAGCACCCGAGGTCAGATCCCCAGAACCCACCAAAAGTCGAGCACAACAGCATGGGCCTGTAACAGCAATGCTGGAGGTGGGAAGATAGCTGGGTTCACTGACTAGCTGAGTTGATGAGGACCAGTTTCAATGAGAGATTTTTTCTCAAAAGTTGACATGGAAAGCAATCAAGGAAGACATCTGAATTGGACCTTTTCAACCTCTACATGTATCCCAGGCATATGTATACATACCTACACACAAATATGTACATATATCACATACAACACAGAATGGGGGAAGGTAAGAAGAACGATATTTAGCAAATGTTTAGTAATAAGATATATGGGATGTCTTGCCCTCAGGCCAGGCTGCGTGCTGGTTCAGATCAAGAGTGAGCTAAACTCAGGTCCCTTAGGAAAAGAAAGAAACTAAACCAAAGACTTGGATTTTGTTCCAGTTGATCAGCTAATCATTTATGAGGCAATGGATAGAAAATCTGAGGGTCAGTGTGGCTTGGCCATGGGTAAATAAGGGGCACTGGGAATCATACCCAAGGTACATGGGTAGGATGGTCTTTGCAGTGAGCTGTTTCCTGCAACACAGAATGGATGGGGCATGTCTTAGGATTTGCTGTTTCCATGTGCTCAGAATTCAAAATTATCATTGGCTTTTCTACTTCTTTTTAATATCTGGCTACAATCTTCCAAACATTTTCAATTTTCTACTGCCTGCCTGACTCAGCATCACTACACTACAGTCTAGCTGTCTGAATCCCTTCATTGGGACGCCAGCTACCTGCCTCTGGCCCTGTCTTCAGGATATGAAGATCCCTTGTGGCCTCCAGCCCCAAGGCTCAACACAGATCTCAAAGGGTTCCTGAGACAGATCACACAGGAGCTAGACTTCTGGGAGAAGTTGGTGTTTGGAAGTACGGGAAGATGCTCAGACATGCAGATCACTACGTACCTGAGGCAGCAAGCACTAAGCAATGGCCCAGGGAGAAACCCCATAAGCAGTGCTGACCGTCAAAAGACTTTCCTCCCTTGACTGCTTAGAATCATCTGACCTGGTTACTCTTGGGGTTCAGGTCCTGGCTTTATACCCAAATGCAACCTTTATAAAAGTATAACTAATTAGTATAACTAATGCTTTCTTCTTGATTTCATGCATTCCTCTTGTGAAATGCCTGATTCCAGGATCCTAAAACAACTGACCCTTGCCCTTTTTCAAAGATGATTCTACTAGTTTTACACACACACACACGCACACACACACACACAAGCCAACAAGAATTCTTAGGAGACTATTTTGTAGGCTTGATGTCATTCCTTGAAAGTTTATGAGCACTTTTTAGGCATGATTCTAGCACTGAGCCACATCCGCTGCTGTTTATCCCCACTTCTGTGCTGTGCACTGATGAATGATACTCACCTTGAACAGAGACGGAAATTGATGAGGTCCACACTCCCTCAAACAGTGCTGTTAAATAACCCTCCACCCTTGTTCCCAGAAATACCCAAATGGCAAAACTGCCCTGCTTTAGTGCCAGCTAAGGATGCCTGAATTCCAAGGAGTCACTCTTCAAGTAGACTAACCAAAGGTGTTTGAATGTAAGAGGGCTACCAGAGTGACAGCTAGACAACCTAACCTCTAACTTCATTAAAATCCTATCCATATGCCGTGAACACTTTGGCCCTATGTCAACTGACAATTACCAAGGTGAAAGGACCCAAACTCAGAAGTGAAAAGAGGCAGTGCCTGATTTACTGAGACGTCTCTGCCCATTCCCAGAAGACATGAATGCGCCCCTCCCTTTATTATTAACCTTATCTCTTCTACTTGATATCTATAATCTCGGGAACCCCAAGGCTTGAGAAGGGGGTTTACAAGTTTATCTCTTGCATCTATTTTGGGCAAGAAAAAATTTTCCTTTACAAATCAATTGTATTTTAGGAAGCTCTTTTATAGAGTGCAACATATTTAATAATCACTCATATTTCTTTACTTTGCTCCTAAAAATATTTTCTCCTTAGCTACAAGCAGCAAATCAACTTTGTAGGAAAAACAAAACTGTCAGAAGATGGTGAGCTAGCAGACAGGCTGGCGGCCGTCCGTGTACTCACGCCGTTGTGGTCTGCATGTCGTGCCAGCTTCTGCTGAAGTTCTGCTTCAGCTCATTCATCAGGTTCATGCCGAGTTTTTGTTTGATTTCAACCAGATGTCTTTCTTTTGCTGACAAAACTTGTCGTAATGTTGTAATTTCGTCTTCTAGCTACAGGTAAAAAAAAAAAAAAATGGTGAGGTGAAATGTCAGAGCGAACGAAAAGTACATCTCCAAAGGGCAGTGGTACCCCAGCACAGCGCCTGAATCCTGCTAAGAGACTCGTGCTGCCCATTTGCAAAACTTTCTGTACAGATGATAACCCACTCTGAAACTGGACACAGGATGCTTAGGTTCCAAAAGTACTCAGTTTCCCTTCTAAATAATTCAGAAAGCCAACCAAAATATAAATAAGAAAATAAAAACACTTGTAAACCTACTAGGAAATAGAGATTCACTATATGTATTGCCCTGTGTAAGTGCTTAAATCTCTTGCACTTTTTCTTTACCAAGCCAAGGGAAAGAATCCTTCGAACTCCTTTAGTACCCCATATGCACAGAGATAATAAAAGTCTGCCAGTTTCCTGGATTTCTTATTTTAAAAAGGAGCTATGTCTCATTCATATTCAAAGTGTCACTGTACTTCCAACCACAACATGTGCTTTGCCTCTGAGCTGCTCCCTCAGATGTGACTCTTCAAAACAATCACTCACAGGACTCAGAAGTACCAAATGAAAATATCTTAAATAGCACAGCAGGAGGGAGCAATAGCTTGGAGTTTTTGATGTCAGGGAACTGTTGGTAGTTTAACATCATCTGTTTCTTTACCTTCATGGAGCATCTTTTTATGTTCTTGGAATCCCTTCCAAAATGGAAACTGAATTACACATTTCATAAGCATGCATAATCAGTAGAACCCCATCTTTTCTTTTTAAAAAAATATTTTATTTTTTTATTGTGGTTGTATGAATGTTTTGCCTGCATGTATATAAGTGCACCACAGACATGCAGTCCCATGGAGGCCAAAAAAGAGCATCAGATTGATTGGTACTGGAGTTATAGACAGTTGACAGCTGCCATGTGGGTGCTGGGAACTGAACCTGGGTTTCTGCAAGAGCAACAAGTGCCTTTAACCACTGAGCCAGGTCTATAGCCCTGAACCTTGCTTTTTCTTAATGAACAAGAGTCTTCCATATGCATGCATAGGCTGACAGAGGCTAAAGGACCACCTGGCTGACATATGCCTTAGTCCCTCTGTTACATGAGAACCCACTGTTATTTTAAAATCAAAATTCTCTAGTCTTTATTGTCATGTCATCTTCCCCCTTTTCATCTGTATCAATGTGTCTTCCTGAATTTCATCTGCTGCCTAATATGGCTGCATTTCTTGTTCTTTTACTACACACACACACACACACACACACACACACACACACACACAGAGAGAGAGAGCTTTAGTTTCACATCACTTTTTATTCTTGGTTCAATAGACTTTTTCTCTTTCCTTTCATTTTGAGTGACTCAAATTACTGGGAGTCTGGTTTTTTCTGTGTGTGTGTGTTGCAGCAGGGGATGAAGGTTACATAGGGTACTGCTGTACTTTCTACTGTGTGCTAAAAATGATTAGAAAAGTTTTAACCTGAAGAAATAAATTACTGATGTAGGGAAGAAGAAAAGGGCTTACATATCTTAATATTTTCAACTCCATACTCATGGAACCTCATAAACATATTAGAGATTGTATGAAGCAGTGAGTTACTTATGAGTTAGAAGAAAGAGGAGAATGTAAAAAAGATGTGGAGGGCTGGAACCTCAGCACGCTGCTGATAGAAAGGCTTAGACACTGTAGAAAACTGTCTAATGCTTTTTCAAAGCTAAACGTTGAACTATGGTTTGGCCTAGCAGTTTCACTCCTACATATGCACCCAAGAAACTGAGAATACACAGCAAACTATTCATTACCAAGAGGAAGAGCCCAAACGTTCCTTAAAGGATGAATACATAAACTATAGTCTATACATAAAATAGGATATGGCTCAGTCATAACAAGAAATGAGCTACTGATACATGCTACAGCATGGATGAACCTTGAAAACATCAGACTTAAGTAAAAGAATCCAGACACCAAAGGCCACTTGGTATATGATTCACACAAATGAAATACTTGTAATTGGTAAAATCCACAGAGACAGAGTGCAGACTGGTGGTTGCCAGGTACTAGGGGAGGGGTGATATAAGAGAACGGCTTAATGTACACGTTTGGAAAAAGGCTGATGTAATGGTTATACAGTACCATGTGTTTGTTGACTATGTTGATTAAAATTAAACTTATCTAGGTAAAGTGCAAAAAAGTAAGGTGATTAAGTTAAATCAACTAAGAATTAACATTAATATAAAATTTATGTTGTAAAAGTAAAATTTCATTTTTCTATTTTACCTGCTAGATTACATGAAGTAACACAAAGTCAAAAGAAATGTTTTGATAATCTGTTGATCAGCAGTATGATGTTCAGTGTTTAGTGTTATTATGTATACTGCCTCAAGGCTTGCCTCTTTTGGTTGAGAGCCATGGAGAGCCAAGATTGAAATGCAGGTACTCCACACAGCTGGTCAGTTACTCATACTAACTCACAGTAATGCTGACACATTACTGCTCACAGTGATGCAAGTCCCACCTAAGCCGAAGCCAGATAAAATCCCAGCATAGATGTGGGGAAGCAGGTAAGAAACCCCAACCCTACCTGAGGAAGTATTGGCAACTGATGGCTGCTGAGAGGGGGAGAGTCAGTTTCATTCAAGGGTAAGAGTTTAGCTTGAACAGGCTCTACTGAATGAACCCACACAGAAAGGCATTTGGAGACACAAACTTGAATCTATAGGCATATATATATATATATATATATATGAGTATATATATAAAAGTATATATCTATATATGCACACACACATATATACATATGCATGAAATTGGGTGGGGGCAGTAAGAGGGTGCAGATAGGGGAGGATATATAAATATATCATAAAATACATTGAATGAAATTTGCAAAAATTCAATTAAAAAAAGAGTCAAAAAATGCAGGTACTCTCCATGGGAGGCTCAGCATGATAAGACAGTAAGACTTACTGCTTGTGAACCCGAATATAAGGAAGGAACTGAGAGAGAAAGGCCTGGGGCCAAGCCAACCTTTTGCAAGCCTAAGACAAAGTAGTCTGAGGGCACTGTGTGTCTTGGAGAAGCTCCCACCACATGAACACGAAGCCAAAGGAGAGGTGGAGGGAACTTGAAAATCAGCTTTTTCTATTTAATAATGTACTCTGATTTTTTTCCACTCCTATTAATACCTATTTTTTTCTTGAGTCATTTTATCTAGCGACATTGGCAGTATTGGATTGTTATATAATCACAAATTGCCAGTACTGATGCCAAAATTCCCATCTTTCCAAAGCCATACATATTATAGAGTGTTGTGCATTCAATGAAGCTTGGTGAATTAAAAAGGAAGTGGGATCAGAGTAACTCAGAATTATTAAGTTTATTTTAAGAAAGATAATTTGATATTTAAAGATCTTATACAGCTGGTAATGAGACAGAGCAAACATCTGAACTGAAATAGCATGCTGTGGTATACTGATAAGTCCCAAAAATATACATATTCCACTTTCGGTATTTACAAATATAGATTTTTTATTATGATGTAAATTAGCTCAAGCTAATTATAAGTATTCATCAGACACCTATGCACACACCACTGTGCCAGGACAGAGATGACACTGATCTCCCATCCCAGGAATCTTAAGAACCCACATATGGGACAGCCAGAGTAAAAAGCCATAGATCAAATTGTGTTCAAAAGACATCTTTGGGTTTTTGATACTATTATTTTATATCTCACCAAAAGGACAAGGCTTCCTGTTGCTAGCACTTGATAAGCACACAAAAACGTGCTGGCTGTGTGGGTGAAGGGACTCGGAAGACTGTTTAAGAACATCCTCATCAGGACATTAACAGCAAAGCACACGGTGGACCGGTGGGTTGACAGAAGGCAATGGGAGGACATAAGGGAATTAAGAAGAGAAGTGAACCAGAGATCGAATACTTGACACATCCCAGGTTGCTGTTGGCTAACAGTCCTCAGGCACAGGGGTCTTGCTTTGCCTCGTGCTCACATTTTGCCTGATGCAAAGGCAGGTGTCCAATAAACTGGTCTCTGAGGAGCCTTTAAAAGTTTTTAAATTATTTACTTATTTATTTATGAAGGGAGTGCACACATACCACAGTATACATGTGGAGATCAGAAGACAACTTGTGGGAGTCAATTCTCTCCTTCCACTGTGTGGTGGAGAGACTGCTGAGAGGGGTCTCTGTGTGTCCTTGTGTAACTGGATCCTAGCATTGGAACTAAAACCCAAATGCATCTGTGATGTAATGGGACCTACTGTGCACCTGTATTCATGGGCATGATTCAATTAAGAAAGAGGTGGATAAGCTGATTTAGGAAAAAAACAAGCACAAGGCAGACATGGCTTCATGGTGAGGGAGAAGAGGAAACGGGGAGAGGAAGAACTATAAAGGCAGGAAGAACTTGTTTGGCTTTTCATGGGCTCTGGGACAGACAAGTCAATTAGTCTACATCAATTATAGAACACAGCTTTTGGACACTGAAGTCCACACAAACAGGTTGTAAAACAGTTTGGGGTCATGAGATCATAAAGACTACCCATAAGGGCCACCTTTGGTCTTTACTCTGGCTGTGTGACCAATCAGTGACCACACACAGACCAGTCAATCAGTGACCACACACAGAACAACTAAAGAGCCAGGCTATTTGATTTGAGACACTCTACTGAAATCATTTCTGGTTGTATCAGAGGAGCAAGGTGGTATACTATTTTAAAATGAAATTATTTTAAAGGCAAACATACTGTCTTAGTTTGTTTCTCCATTGCTGTGACAAAATACTCTGACCACTACCAACTTGGGGAGGAAAGGGTTTATTTAGCTTACATATCCCGGGTCACCGTTCATCTGAGAGCCCAAGGTAGGAACTCCGTGCAGGAACCTGGAGGCAGGAGCTGGAGTACAGGCCATGGAGGAATGCTACTTACTGGCTTGCTCTCTGGGCCCCTGCTCAGCCTGCTTTCTTATGCAACACAGGCCCACCTGCGAAGGGGTGGCACCACCCACAGTGGGCTGGGCCCTCCCACATCACTCATCAAGAAGATGCCCCTCAGAAATGGCCACAGGCCAGTCCAATAGAGGCAATTCCCCAATTGAGGCTCCCTCAACCCAGGTGTGTCAAGTTGAAGCTAAAGCTATCCAGCACACATACAAACCCAAATATTAACTTGTTTGATCAAAGAAAAATCAATACAAGAAGCACTGAAGTAGAATTCAGCAGGGGTTACCAGGGGCTAGGGGAAGGAGGGGAATGAGAGATTGGTCAAAGGATACAAAATTACAGTTAGATAGAATGAATGAGTCCTGATTTTCCATTGCACAATAGGATGTCAATATTGTATTACATATTTCAAAAGAAGAGACTGAATGCTCTTATTACAAAGAAAAGGTAGATATTGAGATAATGGATAAGTGATTCACCCTGAGTTAACTACCACATACTACTTACATGTATGCATACATCACACTGTGTCCCGTAAATATGTATAATTATCACGTGTCAGTAAAAATGAAATAAAAACTTATTGTATAATGTAGTGGGGTATATCTATAAATCTACAGCTCAGGAGGTTGAGGCAGGAAGGTTGTTAGCTTCAGGTCAGTGTATGTTATATAACAAGACCCTGCTTTAAAAAAATTACATAACAATTTAAGATAAAATAAGACTTAAAACAATTCTATTGCAATTATTTTAGGGTGTGCTTTGCTTCCATTGGGAACAGGCCTTTTCTGTCCTGTGAAGAGGATGTGGAGGGAATGCTGGCCACTGCTATCCCGTCCTGCTGCTTCCATCTGCTCTAGGAAGCCTTTTCCAGCCCTCTCCATGAAAGAGAAGCTCAAAAGCAGTGCATCCATTGGTCAGCAAAGGGCTTGGCAAAGATTGCTACTCAGGATGAGATTTGGACCTTTCTCCCTCTAGAACAGGTCCATTCAGCAGCTGTACAAGACCTAATTAAGATCAAATTAATTCTAACTTCCCTCCCCACCCTAAGAGCTTTATGCTTCTGCAAAAGAGCAGTCGGTTGCTTTCATAATTGACATTTTCATTAAAATAATAAGAATTTTGAAGAATTTCCCTTAAAAAGGAGATTACACCTACACTAATGTATCTTTATTTTATTTTTGGTTTTGTTTTTTTTGAGACAAGATTTCATTATGCAGCCCAGGCTAACCTGGAACTCACTGGGTCTCCCAGAGTGACTCAAAGTCTTCATCTTCCTGAGTGCTGAGGTAACAGGCATGCACCATCACACCTGATTTTTCCCATGGTTTTAAACAAATTCCATCCACTTCATACGTGATAATCATTCCCATAATACCCTGATACTAAGAAGAGCAAGAAACACATATTTGACCGTAACTATTATTGTTGATTAAGCAGCACAGCCATTCATTTTATCTTGGTAGCCAACAGATAGTAGACAATTAGCATCACAAAAATACCCTGGGAAAAATGTATTCATCTATTACATTTTCTTAAATGAAAGACAACATAATCGCAATATGGGACCTGTAACAAACTAAAGATAAAAGTAGATTACTAAACATACCTGGACTAACTCTGCCTTTAACTCCTCCTTCTCCTCCTCAGAGAGCATGCTAGAGAAGTCAGCACTGGCTACTGCATCCTCATCTCTTCCTTGCAAAGATTCGGTCTCCAACAAGCCTTCAGGCAAAATTGACAAAACATAATGGGATTGTTATCATGAATTTAGCCAACTTGTTTCTGTAACCTGGAGAACTACAAATACTGAAGGACCCTCCCATTAAAAAACAACCAATAATTCCAGAAAAGAAAAACAAGAACTGAGCCTTCCTCCTAAATGTGTGATGAACTCCAAGAAATCAAATACTCAGAAGCCTGAAACAAAACAAACAAACAAATGGACCTAAGTGAAAACGGGAAGCCATAGATGTAAACAAAGGTCTAGAAAGATAGCTTAGTAGTTAAGAGTGTTTGCTGCTCTTCCAGAGGACTGGAGTTTGGTTCCTATCATCTCGTCCAGGTCCAGTTGCTCACAACCAACTGTAACTCTAGTTTCAAGGAATCCTACACCCTCTTCTGGACTCTCTGGGCACCTGCACTCACAGATGCATATACCCCCACACAGTTATATGCATAATTTTTAAAATAAAATAAATCTTTAAAAAATGTAAACAAAGCAAGCTTTCACAAATTCATCTGCACCATACAGGTAAATTCCAGGTTCACTTTTCACTGTCTTATGGGGTGTCATGGGGGCAGAGAACAAAGCTTACCCAAGGAGAGGGTGCTTCATGTCAAACCTGGAGTAAACCTTCCTTCCCCACAGGCATCTGGAAGGAAATCTGACTGTATTTGAAGCTCAGGGCTGAATGACAGAGAATAAAAATTCTGGGCTGGAGAGATGGCTCAGCAGTTAAGACGCAGGTTGTTCTTGCAGAAGACCCGGGTTCAAATCCCAGCACCCACATGGCCATTAACAACTGTCTGTAACTCCAGTTCCAGAGGATCCGACAGCCTCTTCTGACCTCCGCAGGCATTATACGACATGGGTGCACTTACCTATATGCAGTCAATACATGCATACACATAAAATAATAAAATTAAAAAAATTCCTTTCCTGAGAACACATCACTCTACTAGGCTACATGTGCATCTGCTGCTTAGATACACGTTGCCTACGTGCTCCTAAGCATTCTCAAATCAAAAGTTAAACCATGAAGCCTTCTACTTTGAATGTGGTAGTGTAGGGAGCCTGGAACAGCTGCACTGTGAAGAAACACACGAACAAATGGCTCCTCACAGAGGAAAAGGAGGGAAGTGCTTGGATGTTTGAAGCTATCCTTATACCACAGGCTAACCTTGGCATAACTCAGCTTATAATTTGTCATGTGGCAAAGATGCCCAAAGTTAAACCATGAAGTCTTCTACTTTGAATGTGGTAGTGTAGGGAGCCTGAAACAGCTGCACTGTGAAGAAACACACGAACAAATGGCTCCTCACAGAGGAAAAGGAGGGAAGTGCTTGGATGTTTGAAGCTATCCTTATACCACAGGCTAACCTTGGCATAACTCAGCTTATAATTTGTCATGTGGCAAAGATGCCTTCTTAGTTAAGACACACAATCCCTGGGAAGGGCCCAGGCTATCTGACTGGCCCACTGGTCTGTGGTGTCTGGAAAACCCACAACATAGCCCTACACATATCCATTTATGACATGATTTAGGACAGTGCTGATATTTACATATCTCTAGAAAAGGGAAGGATTTTTAATAATTGCCCTGCAACTAACGTTATCCATGTGGGAAACACTAATGTAGACACCTACACACCACTCACAGAAGCAAAACCAAAAGTTTTAGAAAGCAATCAGTTTCTATTTATTAATTTCTAAGGAGGAAGAGATTTCTTCAACAAGATACAAAAAGGCAAACCAGGAAAGAAAGAATGAATGAAATTAAGACTGTCTCTTCCCTAAATATGTTATCAGAGAAATGATACTTGCAGTATATATGATTAATAAAAGATCAGTTCCTAGAACATATAAAATTTCTACAAACTGAATTTTAAAATGGAACCCAGTAGAAAAAATAGTCCAAAAGAGACAAATGAATTTTTTATAGGAAGAAATCACATATGTTTAATAAACCTAAGAAAATATTTCTCTTCATTAATGTTTAGGTGATGAGGGGATTCGAAGCAAGAAGGGAATGAATAAAATGTCCATCTGCAGTTGGCTGCTTCCCAGACACCATTTCAGATACAAGAATACTCTCTGGCACCCACAGCAGGCTCTGTAGTAGATAACACTCTTCCTGATGTAGACTGTAGGCACTGCCGGAATGGGGGACACCTTTTAAAATGTATGAGTATCAACATGCCGACATCTGATTCAAACAGCATGGTTGATGATTTCCAACACACTGAATTCAGTCAGAGGCCATAGACAGTTTGAAAACTGACAAATTCTCCCCCAGGCAGGCTGTACCAATCATAGGCAGATATGAACAACTTAGGAAAATACAGATGGGAGAATATAGGGAACATACTCTCAGTTCTACGACACAACTGGATCACTTGAGGAGAAATACTGTCATTTGATCCTACTAGTAAATATTTCCATGTAGCCAATGCATTGTCAGGTATTCTAAAGGTAACTGTCTAATTTAATCAGGAATCAGCAGCAACTCCAAGCACAGGTAGGTACAAGAGATGGATGGGCTCAGAAGTAAGCTGCCATCTACACTGCAGATTAGGAGAGAGTCAGGGTCAGGGTGAGAACTGCAAAACACTGGGCTTTTCCTCAGCTCAACTTAGCTTAGTTCAGGGACTTACAAATACTGTGCAAACTGCTGGAACCCAAGTCCTCAATTTTCCCTTGGCCAAGAAGTCATGGTTCAAGGAATAAACAAAAGTTCCAGGTACTTTTAAAGACAGCAAACATTGCCAGCATCTTTCTATTTCCTAGAAGGAAAAGAAACCTTGGAATCCTGTATTCTTGCTAACACCTGAATGGGGAACTATCTACTGACTTTAGGGACAGGGATATATATAAAATGGATATATATATCCATTGAAGGGGCGGTGGATAAACCATGAAGGGAGGTATTTGGCAATGGAGCCCATTCCTCAGAGATCTCAAGAATCTTTCAAAAGCTCACCACCACAAATCACCCATTTAAGAAATCTGCACAGAGACTAGAGAGCAAGTTAGTCCAGGTCTAAGTTTCCTCTGTTCTTTTATCTCCTGATGCAAACATTTCCTGCTGCCTCCTGTCCTGAACCTGAACAGTTCAGCACAGGGTGCTACATTACCACCAACAAAATGAAAAGACCTGCAGTGTCTGGCTGGCGGAACACACTCCACTCAGTGTGCTAGAGAGGCAGCAATCAAATTACAGAGCCAAAGGATAATTATGGCCTCAAGGAGCCGGTGAAAAGAGGAGTTGGATCAAAAGGTGATTGGTGAAATTATGTGAAAGTCAGGAGAAAAAAAATGATCAAACCTACCAAGTGACAGACAATAGTCTGAGAAGGACAAAATGTACAGAATTACCTGGTTTCCATGGAGGCAGATTTTAAAGAAGACTAAGCACTCTTTAAGTGAAAGCAATTACCCATGCTCAATAATCATAATTTCAGGCAGGTACTGCTATATTATGAGGCAGCTTCATGAACCCAATCCTCTTTTCCAAACGTACAAACTGTGCCCTCCATCTGACATAGAGCAAAGAGCACCACAGTACAAGTCTGTCCATGGCTTAGTCACTATTAGCAGAGCACATGTAGGACTCAATGAGCTCGTCCGCACAATGGACACTTCATATGGCTGTTATTAACATTTAATGTCAGTAAACCAGATAGTACATGTAAAACTGATATAAAATTTTAACATTTGCATATGTTACAGTAGTATACTGTAAAGCTGGGGCGTGGATAATAACACAATACACTATATTCTCTTTTGCCTCCCAAGAATATATTTTCCTAAGTAATCAAAGACATCCAACTGCCTAGGATGGCAGAAGGAAGTAAAAGAGAAACAAAGAAAAAGTTAACATTTGAATTTGGGGTATTTAAAATTCAACTTGCCCATAAGACAACAAAAAGCTTTGAAAATGAGGTGATTTTCTAGGATGTGATGTTCTGTAGGTCATTCCTTGCTCTTGACATATGAAAAGCTAAGCGCTCACTGGCCATCTAGCCAAGCAGGTCTCCTGTTACGCAGCACACTGGGATTTACCATGGATGTATGGGCTTCCTGTTCTAGCTTTGGATGGTAAGAAGGAATGAGGATAGAGAAGCCGTAGATGTGTGCACCCAATCTTGTACTTTGACTTTGGTCCAGAAAGGATGTACTGCAGTGAGTTGTAGAGGAACTTGCTGGAGATGATATTTGTCCCTCTGCACCTCTATGCTCCTCTACCCAGCTCTGAGCCCACGAGGCTGACTTCAGCATTACAGCTTCGTGATTCTTTTACCTTTCTGTTCACTTTCTGCTTTGGCCAGGGGGATTCCCCCAAGGAACATGTGAGGGAGAAGGGAGGGTAGGGTAGGCAAACCCCTGACTCCCTCTCTTCCACCAGACTGTGTTGCACTGTTACAGCTGTTACAGCTTTTTTTTTTGTTGTTTTTGTTTTTCCTTTTGGAGACAGGATCTCCATGTAGACCCAGCTGGCCTGGAGCTCATTATATAGACCAGGCTGGCCTTGAACTCACAGAGATCCGCCTGCCTCTGCCTCCGCGTGCTGGGATTAAAGGTGTGCGCCACAACACCTGGCTCTGTTATAGCTTTTGACTATCAGTGGCCACACTTCCCATTAGGCATCTTTTTTCTACATCTCAGCCTTGACTATTTCCAAGAATCCCTCCCTCTCCTCCAGCCTGGGGACAGGACTGGCTTCCCACTCCTGTTATTCCAAGGTGCCTCAGCATCCCTTATTGTGCATGGTATCTCCTTTCATCTTTTAAATACATAGTGCATTTATTAAACTCTGACTCAGATGCCCCTACTGAGGTGCCTGCTTTTCAGCCTGGTCCTTGACTAGCACAGCCCCAATTTAATTTTTGAACTCTAGTAAGAAATATCTTTCAAGAAATCCCACTTCAATTTGGGGTTCAGCCCCATCACTGTAAACTGGGAAGGAATGGGACAGCTGGGTAGATGGGCTCTTGGTGCTCTT